AGACCGGTGGCGGAACTGGTTATAGAGTTTGGGGCTATATTAAAACTTTAAAAACTTTAGAGGTTAAAATTAAATTTTTGCAAAAGGTTTAAATGATTCTATTTATATTTTTTTTTAAAAAAATTGGGGTCAAACTAAAATTCTTAAAATTTTGAGAGGCTTAATGAGAACTTTTAAAAATTATGTGAGGGGTTTAATTAAGAACATTCAAAAATTTAAAAGCATAATCTGAATTCCTAAAAATTTTGTGGGTCAAATTAAATTTTTTAAAACATTAAGGGTCAAAATTATAATTTTTCAAAATTTGGGGAACCATGACCCCACTAAACCTCACCGTGTTCGGCCTCTGATTGAGAGTAACAGTTAAATTCAAACATAACTTTTGACTTACCGCATTAGAATTTTTCAGGAATCTAATATACAAACGGTTAATATAAGACTGAAAAATGACTAAATAAGTTCTAATAAAAAAGTTTTTAAGTGCCTAATTGGTTAATATCATCTTTATAACAAATCATGTAAATTGTGTAACTCTTCTGGTTGTAATCTAAAATGTTATCGTAAAGAAACTCATGTAACATTTTTAGTTGTAACCGAAATTATTATCAATTGTGTAACTTTTTGGAGTAGACAATGTAATATTTTAAGTTAAAATCTCCCATAATATAACATTCTTGATTATAATCAAAATTATTACCGATCATATGGGTTTTTAGAATAGACGATGCAACATTTTAAATTAAAATCCTCATAATATATATTCTCGTTATAATCAAAATTATTATCAATCGTGTGATTTTTTTTAGAGTATACATGATAGGATTTTCATGGAAGCAACATCTAGAAAAAGGACTGGACGGCTTTTGACTTTTCTGTAGTTTGCTGATGGCAGAAGGTAGTTGTTATTGACCTTTACTTATATTCATGAAAAGGGGTTGAATAATTCTAACTCAAACGAAAACATGGCCTCACAATGATGATGTATTGACCATCTTAAGTAGTTTCAGTAGGGATTTTTCTTCAGAACTAGACATATATCAACCCATCACTCGAACCAGAGTCTGATTTGGTGAAAGTTATTGATCTAAAAGACTTTTTTTTTATTAATTATTTAGAATAAAAGTGGAAAGTGATAAACCTGATCTTTCTCCAGAATGGTGTCCCAGTTGTTATCCTCCAACAAGCTCCTGGTTTTCTCATAGCTCAAGGCTGCCCGATAATTCAAATCTCCAAGCCATATGACTCGGCTGCAACATTTAAGAATTGATGGATCAAAGACGTAATGGCGATATATTTTTTCCTTTTCAATAAAAGAAGGGTCCAGTGGTTATATCAATGCAAACATACTCATGCTCAATGATTTTCTCCGGGGCTCGGTGATTTGGAGTTGTGCAAATGATGGGAAACTGTATGCCCCTGAGGATCTCAGAAACATCGGTATTCCTCTTCACCTCATCGCCTTCCTTTTCACCCAAAGCTAAGTGACTGCACACAAAGCAAAAGCTTGTTTGGTGCAACGATATGCTTACTGCTATACACCCCTGCAAATATTTGACAATTTATTCTCGAGAATATAATTGATCATATAATAAAACTGAGAAGATCGAATCATCATCATTTAGACGCTAACCTTGTTGCCAAGGCGTTTCATTATTCCTCTTCCCACAGAGGACAATCTGACATGACCGATGTATGGCATCGACTCCTTCCGAGCCCATATCGAGAGGAAAAGTCCGACCATCTGCTTGTCAGTGATAAGGCGGTAACTCATTTCTTCAGTTGAACAAAGTGGGAACATCTCAGAGAGGGCAACCAACTCTCTGATACTCGTATTGTAACCCACAGGTAAGGGACTAAGATCTTGATCATTTGCTAAACCCCGAACGGCCCTTTGCCTTGTGTTCTCCCAATGCGTGTAATCAACAGGGCAGTTGCAAGTCTTGAGAAGGCTACTCCCGGCCCTGAAGTTCTTACTAAGGATTTTGAGCACTTGTTTATCGAAAATGTGAGGATTGGTAAGTGATTTCAATTCCTTGCAGGCATCAGTATTGGTGCTTTTTGAATCATTGCAAGTGTCCGCAGACGTGTGCTTGGGACCGTGACGCGGCTTGTTAAGTGCTTGGTTTATAAGAGCCAGCCATTTTGTAGCCGGTTCATTGTCTTCACTTCCTATAACGTTTCCAGCATTGAGTGGAACAATTTCTTGAAACCTGGGAAATCAATATTCTAATTGTAAACAAACTCCAAAAACTCTCATTGAAGAAACCAGAAATCAGTATGAATCTGGGAAACAAAATCAAGCAACTCATGACAAATTGACACAATCTTTCTTATCATCTTGCTAATGGTATCGTATCTCCAAGTTAATCTCTGTATAATCGATCTTAAACTTGTGTTCATGTGATATTAAGCAATGCCAAAATAGACCAGAAACTGAAAAAATAACAAAATTCCGAGTAAATCATACCCACAAACATATATATCTGCAGAGCCCTCCCTTAGAAAGAAATCTTCCAGGTTCATGTCACTGTTGGGTATCTTCCCTCCCACATTCCAGGTTGCAACAAATATCCTGCAAGCTCAATAATGGGATTTTCCTGCTGTAAGATGTAACACAGGCCTAATCAATGTAAAATAACAACTTCAAACCACAACATGGAATCCATACCGAAAATCTCGAATCTCAGTCACTGAAGCCATGGAACACTCGAAATTCGAGAGATTCAGCCCTTCGAGCAACCCACCACTTCCCCTTCTTTCTGAAAGTAGATAGGAATTAGCAACAAGATGTACATTATTTTTTTTCTTCGTTTTTCCTCTCCCAATTCTATATTCTAATACTGTCAACTTTGTCAATGATAAAGGCCAAAGGGTCAGCATCAGAACTGGTACTTCCACTGATCCATTAAGATTTTCCCCATCTAAATTTCTAATATCTAGCTTATAAATCAAACTATTTGTTGTTAGGTAAGCTACCAAAGTTTTATACTAGATAACAACTTAGTCTCCTTGACGATGGCACAAGAAATGAAAGCTGTCAATAGGGCTGTAAACAGTTAGTCAAGCTCGAGTATTGTTGAGCTCATTTCGACTCGAAAACTCACAAGTTTAAAATTTTCAAGCTCGACTCGAAGTCAAAATTATGAATTGGAGCTCGTAAAAGCTCGAAAATGCTCTAAAAGAAAAAAAAATCTTAAAACTTAACTCAATTAAATCCTCAAACTCGAACTCGAACCTTAAATACATAAAAAACCTTATACTACATTTAAAAAAAATCAACACATAAATGTTAATATTATTAATAATTTATTTTATTAAAAAAAAATCTTAATATATTATATTTTCGAACTGCTCACGAGTTTTCCGAGTCGAATATCAAGTAGTTCGTTTCGGCTCGTTAAGAACTCGAATCGAGTCCATTCAAATCAAGTGTTTATCGAGCTTTGACCGAGTCGATCTCGAGTAACTCGTAATCTATCTCGTCTCATTTACAACCTCAGTTGTCGAGCACTATTATCGTCTATGTTTCTTCAACGTTTCATTTTTCTTATGTACTCATGTCTAACACATTTCTAAATACAAGTATAGACATTATTTTCAAAATCTACCCTCCAAATGTATAAAAAAAACAGAATTCATTAAGTGGTCACGGCGATATAAAGAAATGTTATTCTCCTTCTTCAGAGGATTCATTATTCTCCAAATATATTTATTTTATATATCATATATGAAAAATTTCATAACCACATCCTCAGATGAAATTAGGATCAATTGCACCTCATACACTAATCATACCTAAGAAATTTCTTCTTATTCAAGAAGAGGCTTCCAAAAAGTCCTTGCTCGTCGGTGCAATCTTAATCTTCTTCTCCAAATCTACCAAATATGGCCCATAAAATACTTCAAAAAAACCGAAAAAGAAAAGGAAAATTGATAGTCGGATAAGGGTGATACCGGCAGAAATTGCATCACAATCCGGTGACGCAGAATCGTCGTTTGAGCCTCCTCTACCTCGTCTCTTAGAAGAAAAAATCTTTGCAATATTGAACTTGAACCCATTGCAGAATTAAACAGATCAAATCAAATATAGAAACGATTGTTTAGCCATGCACAAAATGATCAAAAAGTATAATAGATACCTTCTTTTTCTTGTCATTTTTGACGGAGTTTTCAGGAGAGTGGGCAGTCTGGTGGTGCAAGCGATCTTCATCATCCCCGAGTTGGCTTGCATTCATTAGGTTACTTGGAAAATTACTGTCAATTTTCAATACTCTTAAACCGTCAAATGACAGAGATTCATGACGATACACAATAAATTCTGGGTGTTTGAGTTCATTAAGCGTGGAAGTTTTTTTTCATCAAATTTTCTTAAATTTTGTTCTGGAAAATAATTAAATGAATTTTTTTCTTTTATCTGTTTGAAAGGAGGAGACATTGCCGCCAATTGCTTCGGAGGATTTAATACTTACTATAAGAGGGAAAGTTGGGATTTTATATAAATGTACACTCGCTTAGGATGGACACCTGCCGGATTGTAAATGATTATAAAAAATTATTTAAATTAAAATCAAATAATATCATAATATTATAAATATTTATAATTATATTTAAATATAAACTCGAACAATGCGACTCAAAATTTTTTTTAAATAAATTTTGAGATATAAAATAGAACTCTTCAACTTAAAATTTTTTTTACTCGATTAGATTCAATTGAACCCTCAACCCTATAAATAAACCATTAATTCGACTCAATTCACCAATTCATGTGGTATGGTATTATTCTTCTTTTATCAACATGACAACATAATAAAACCCTCCCAAACGAATACTAAAACTGAACTTCAAGTATGATTTTTTAAAAAAAATAAAAGTTTAAATACTAGAACTAATTAAAACTAACGACTTAATTTACCCTAATATCAATTATAAAATTAATTAAAATAAAAATAATGAAATTATTTTATTTTTTATTTGTTTAAACAACATGGTCAAACCAAAGCGTTCTTCAGTTCCGACTTGCTTCAACTCGAAATCTCTGCTGCTACCCGCTTCTCTGCATCTCTGCACCAATGGCAGTCGCTTCCAACTCGCTCGTGTCTTTCATCCAAGGCTCATTGAGTCAACGCGGAAGGCACTTCCGGCTTCTTCCTTCCCCTTCTCTTCCTTTGCCCGGATCGTCCTCTCTGAAGCTCACTCGCCGCTCCAACTCACCCCTACTTGGCTCTTTAGATGCATCCAGCAGCACAGATAAGGAGACCCCCATTGAGACAAGTACTTTTCATTTTTGTTTTTACACTCAATTTTCACTCTTTTGAAATCTGGGTTTGTTTCTCTTTTTCCCGTGACTTCTCAGGGTTCCCAGCTTATCGTAGTGTGATGGACATTAACAAAATTAGAGAGGTATTGCCACACAGGTGAGAAAATTATCCCGTGTTAATTTATTATTTTATAAGCTTTTCTTTTGCTTGTTTCCGATACATTTTAACTGGTTTTTTGGGTTTGTAGGTTCCCCTTTTTGTTGGTGGATAGAGTAATAGAGTATAATCCAGGGGTATCGGCTGTTGGTATAAAGAATGTGACCATAAATGATAACTTCTTTCCTGGACACTTCCCTGAGAGGCCTATAATGCCCGGTGTTCTCATGGTTGAGGTATCTTCTTTTTCCCTGAATGGTTGGGCATTTAATCACTTTGTTTATCATTTGAATTTTGTCCATTTTTATTTTAGGAGCTGAATGTAGGATTTAATCATATGTATAACTTTGTGTTGTCCCTGATAATTTTATTTTTTGGTTATCAATCTAATAAATGAGGTAGTGCTCTGGTCCTGCTTTCTGTCACCTAAATTACCACCCTTAGTAATATGGGTAGGGGTGTAATCAAGCCGAGCACACTCGAGAAGCTTGTGCACATCTTGTAAGCTTGGCTCGAGCCCACTTGGGTTTCGTTTTAAGCTCTAGCATATAAACATCAAATTGCTTGGGCTTGCTCGATTAAGCTACTTTACTTTGTCAAAAGTTATCTTAATTATCATACTCAACTTCAAGCTCAGTGATATCAGTTGAGATACATTTGTACCAGTTTTGCTTAACTAATCAAGGATGAATTGAATGGTTAATGTTTCTCAAAAATAATCTAGCATCTTCTATATAATCGGATTTTCCAGAGCGTACAAAGTTTCTTCCTCCTTTTTTTTTCTCTTTTCGTTTATGCATATTTCATGATGTTTCTTCTCCATTAGTCACTTGATACGCAGTTCTGCATTCTGAATGTTTGAATGTTTTTATCTTAAAGTGTTTTTTCCATGAAATTAGGTGCTCACATTATCCAGTTTCCATAAACTAATTTACTAAGATCTATACAATGATGATGAAAACTTTTTCTATTTCTATCTGCATGCATGAAACCACGGGTGTATTCTGCCAGCTAGATTGTTTTTTGGTCAATACTCCATGGTTATGTATTTAGACAGTAGCTTATTTTCTTTTGGCCCATACCTCATTATTCAATCACATAAATAGAGTAAGGCTGTGTCGACAATCTTACTGCAGAGGTAAAATTTTGTTGTATGAAGCCTAGGTTGAAGTTTGAGGTAAAAACATGGGCTTAACCAAAGATTTGGTAGATAATCAGCTGTGAAGTCTTTTTCACCCCAGAGATGCTACTGGCTGTTGAGTGTTAGACATGGACTTGTGTAGGGCATGTTAGCATTAATAAGTACTGTCAGTATTTTTGATTCTTTGTTATTCAATGCATTTTTTTTGGGTTGAAAATCAAGCTTTATTGAGCTCCTTGTACATTTTCGGAAAATTGTGGCTGGATTTTATTCCTGTTGAGATCTTTGTTTCTTCATGTAATTTCCCGGCTCTTGTAGCTACTATGTATTATTTTCCATTTACATCCTTTGATATCCTATGGTGGTGGTTTTTATCTCTAAAACACCATCTTTTGTGTCTCTTGTCTTTGCATAAAAACCCCCAGATATATTTTCTCCCCTATTCTATGGTAGCTGATTCTACTGTAATTTTGTATAGGTTATATTTAGGTAAAGACATCCTTAATGGTGTTTTTGTTAAAACTACCGACTAATTAATTGGGAAAACCAGCAAATTTTGTCTTACAGTAGTAATCCTCAATGCAGTGTTCTATTCCAGCTGTGCTTGGGGGCCAGTCCTTTGACTTGAATGATAATGCAGAGGAACCCAAGTATAATGTTATCCATAACTTGTTTATGGCCTTTTCTAAAATGGCTTAGTTCCAAATTCGTAATGGTGTTATAGCGTCACTATCAGCATTAAATCGGTTTAATTCGATTGTCTGCCACTCTGCCCAGTGCTACCTATTTATATCATCTTTATAGGCGCTTAGGGTCCACGTCTACTACACTTCACCTTTTTAGCATTTTTTATCCTGAATAATATGCACGTACGAGGTGTGGGATGGGGTGGGGGATCAATGGCGGTTAGTGAAACTACTTGAAGCATGAAACAAACATGCTAATAGAGACAACATTGGTGCTTCTATTATTATTGGCTGATTCCATGGTCAGAATGCTTAGTTGTCAATCAAGTATGCTATGAAGCACGGGGCTGGCAAAGGTGTCCGTCTCAAGTACCCGATGCGTTTCGGGCATGGGGACGGTACGAGGACGGCCGGGGTACATACCGGAGACGTGTCACGGTGAGAGGATACGGCTGATCGAATTCGGGGACGGTCATGAGCCATGTTGTTCCTTAGGCTTTTGTTCCGCATGCGTCCCCGTTTCACGGCGATTCTCATCGTTTTTTTCTTTGACGATATGGTAGTTTCTTTTTTTTTTTTGTGAAGTTTCTTCTATCATTTCATGTAGGCTGAGACGGGTTAGCATTTATGATAAAACAGTGGTTTAACAATTTGCAGTGCCTATTCGGTACTATGATCTGGAACATTTGCAGGGTTCAATAACTTTTGTAAAAAAAGTCTTTAACAGGCTGTTTCCAGGAACAGACGGGGTGAAATAAATGCCTTGAACATTTTTCATAAATTCAATGCTATGAACTATAAGCAATGTCGTTGTCCAGTAAATATGATTAATTTCTAATTTGATCCCTTAAAATTTAGACAATACCGATTCGATTTTTGAATTCTCTCAACCTCTCTTTTAATCCACACTTTAATCTCTCCGATCACATTTTTCTGATCGGTGATGACATCGATCCGAAACCCTCTTTTAACCAAATCCTTTTTACTTCACGTTTTGTGTTCATGGGGAAACATTCTCATCCCAACTCAAAATGTGTTATAAAAGCTAAACATAAAATGCTTGCTTCAATTACCGGAAGGCACCTATGTAAAAGAAGAATTAGTCATCTACGTAAGCGTGAAGAATTAGTCACTTTCAATAAAAGATATTGAATTGTCTTTCTAGAATACTTACCAGCATCTCGAGGTATATTGGCTAAATTATTGGTCTACCGCACCTGACCAGTGACAGACGTAATATTTTATGTTAGAAGTGAACTTGAACTTATAGAATTTTAAGGGGCGAAAACAACTTTTTAATAAAAAATAAATATATAATAATTTTAAATTTTTAGAGAGAAATGACCAACCCTACTAGTCCCACCTAAGTCCATCTCCGCAGCTGACATAGATGACTCGAATGATACAACACCTAATGTAAGTGATAGATAAATGTGTGTATATAAAAGTATAACATATTATTATTTTTTCTCTTTTCTACATTTCTTATTTTAACAGAAGACAATAATTTATATATTAAAATATATTATAGCATCTCAGTTTGACCGGCCAAATTAATTGAATAATGAGGTGGTTGTTCAGTGAGAACAATTTTCTCTGAAAAAAATCTCAATACTTCAAATAAATATGTTATCTTGTAAATATCAACGAAAAATATTGAAGGCTATCTCCAGTCCCCACTGATCATTTGTGAGAATGAGACGGCTACACTTCTAGAAGTTCCCCAACTGACAATGTATATAGCTCGATGCGGCATTAAGTCTTTAAGTAAGGTCATAGGTTTAAATCTTAACAATTGTGAATAGGAGTAAATCGGGTTGGGAGGGTCGCACTCGCCTTTGCAGTACCCGAACTGGATTAGTTGATCAATAGATCAGAAACCAGTAATTAATTAAAAAAATACTTTTACCAAAAAAAGGTAAACTACATAAATGGTCACCGAACTTTTATAACGCTTGCATTTTCATCTCCCAACTTTTAAAACTTGTAATATAATCATTGAACTTTTGGTTCATTTTCAATAAAGTCCCTAATTTACCTCCCGTTAGTTTTATCTGACGTGGCACGTTACTGTTATTTTTCAGCTTCATAAAATAAAATAAAAAAAGCATTCCCAAATGACGTCGTATAATCGCCCTTATTTTAACGATAGCTGGCTATATCGGTTCAATTTCTAGGTTTTCAAGTTCCTACCCAAGGCAAGGTAGCTGTATACCCCAACTGATCTTGGCTTTTGCTTCAAGCCTTCAGGGTACAAACCCTTTTACTTGCACTATTTTCTCTAATATTTGTCAGGTCTCGTATTCTTAATTAGAACAGAACTTGGGTGAAAGTTTGAGTAAGTTTCCTCGTATTCTTTTTCCTCTTATGGGTGCTTTTTATAATTTTATTTCTTTATTAGAAAAAGAACTTTAAAGAGTAGAATATATGAGTTTCTTTCATTGTTTACCACGTATTTTTCCTCAGGTTTTCTCGCGATACCTTTTACAACTTAGCCTGTAACAATACCTTGATCAACTCCATGTCTAATAGAAGCAAGCCCGACAGCCAACCCGACAGCCAAAACGGAAGCAACATAAATCAATGGATTCATGGTAAGTTGCTCGCACCAAAATAAAGAAATGATTAATGATACAACCATCCAATGAATTTTGACTTAATCTAGTTTCGATTGTTTATCAAACAAAGAGAATAAGAGAGAATGTAATTTGATTTTTAGGATTTTTATTCAATTTTGGGTGAGGAGAATTTTTTATTGAGTTAAAATGGGTTAAAAGGATTATTTTATTAAGCTAAAAAAGAACAATAATGTGCTATGTCAGATAAAACTAACGGAAGGTAACGTCAGGGACCTTATTGAAAATGAATTAAAAGTTTGGTGGCTATATTACAAGTTTTAAAAATTGAATGATCAAAATGCAAGACCCCTAAAAGTTTCATGACCATTTATTTAGTTTACCCAAAAAATAATAATAAATGATTTTTTTGGATAAATGAATTTTATTTATTCAGGAAAAAACCTCAAGAATTCATACAACCAAAACATAATCAAAACCACAAAAAAGAAAAACAAGCCCTAAACAAGATTCCACTCTATACGATTTATTAACTGGATTCTCTTTACTTATGGGCAGTCCAACAACTCTACCTCTTATTGTTAGGGCAAAAAATAAGATGAGACAAATATTGAGCTATTTGATATTGACTCGATCAAAGTTCGATAAATACTCAATTCGAATGGACTCGACTCAAATTTTCAACGAGCCGAAATAAGTTACTTGATGCTCGACTCGAAAAGCTCACGATCAACTTGAAAATATAATATATTAGTTTTTTTAAAAAAAATAAATTATTAAAAATATTAGCATTTATGTGTTGATTTTAAAAAATATGTAGTATAAGGTTTTCATTTATTTAATGTTCAAATTGGAGTTCAAGTTTGAGCTTCAATCGAGTTAAGTTTAAGATTTTTTTTATTTCGAGCTTTTTCGAGATTTTAAAAGCTTCAATTCATGGTTTCGAGCTCGAACCGAGATTAAAAATATTAGGCTCACGAGTTTTCAAGCCGAGCTGAGCTCCGTTTTTAAGTTTTCAAATCGAGTCGAATTCAACGGTACTGGAGCTCAACTCGGCTCGTTTACATCCTTACCTCCTCCCGCAGGGATTTTTGTTGAAAGATCCGTAAATTTCTCTCCTTCTACACATAATAAATAAACAAATTCCACACAATTTTCAAAGTAGTTGTGAGCAAAGAGTTACCCTTAAGGCGATATATCGCCCAAGCAAACTCCCAGCTCCAACTCCCCACTCTACAATTTACATAACACATTTTCAGTTCTAATTTTAACTAAGTTTACCATTACAATATTGAATAGTAAAAACAGTTTATAGTGTGTTCATTATAATAAACCCCGGTTTATTGATTCAGATGAAGAAAATAAAAGTCCGGTCCATTGCTACATCCAGAAGGGAGAGTTACAGACGGTAAATGAGATGAGACATATCATGAGTTACTCGAAATCGACTCGATCAAAACTCGATAGATATTCAAATCGAATGGACTCGACTCGATCTTGAACTCGAATCGAGTTATTAATGAGCCGAAACGAACTATTTGATACTCGATTGGAAAAACTCACAAATAACTCAAAAATATAATACATTAAAATTTTATTTTTAAAAAATTAAATTATTAATAATATTAACATTTATGTGTTGATTCTTTCAAAAAATACAGTATAAAGTTTTCATATATTTAAGGTTCAAATTCTAATTTGAGTTTGAGTTTCAATCAAATTAAGTTTAAGATTATTTTTCATTTCGAGCTTTAATTCATGATTTCGAGTTTCGAGTAGAACTTAAAAATTTTAAACTCGTAAATTTTCGAACTTAATAATTTTCAAGCTCGACTCGAATTATTTAGGGACGCTAATAAGTATATAAATAAATAAACCAATAAATAAAGCGTGAGGTGGACTTCTTTGAGACCCTGTCCCCGCAAGTAACGGCCCAGATTCTGTCTCTCTCTCTCTTCCTTGTCATTTAATTTATCTGCTCTCTTCCCCCTTCACTATCTTCCATTTCCACTCCCTTTTCCTTTCTTTCTCTTCACAAATCCCTCGAGAAAGGAACAGAGAAAAAAAAATATAAGTATATAACACACTATGTTGCTCGGAAAACGTACACGCCAGCCGATCAAGAGAACGACGAGCATGACGGGGATCCCCGTCGTCGATGCCTCCGACGTGGAGGAAGTCGTGGACCGACACCCAATCGTATCCGATCCTCCCCCTCCCCACCTTGAATTCCACGACGGTAACTCCCGTTCCGATCAACGTTTCTCGGCCACGGTGTTTTCCAAAAACCCATCTTCGCAAAGATCGGCTTCTACTAACCACGTAGTCGACGGTAGTGCCACAGCCGCATCTCCTTTTTTGCAATCTTGTTGGCTTTGTGATCGCCGCTTAGCTTCTGGTCGTGACATATATATGTATAGGTATTTTTGTACTCTTTTCACATCATCTTTTCTTCCTCCCCCCCCCCCCCTAGTTTGAATCCTTTTCAGTGGCTTCGTTTTGTTTCTTTTTTGCAGGGGGGATACAGCGTTTTGTAGTCTCGAGTGCAGAGAAAAGCAGATGAACAAGGACGAAATTGCAGCAGCTTCAAAGAGAGAAGACCGCCATGCCCACGCCTCTCCGACCACCTCCAAGACCTCTAAAGCCGAGCCAATGGTTGCTTCTTGAGCTTTAGAGGAAGAAAAAGAAGAAGAAAGAAAGCGTCTTGCGTCATATATGGTAGTGGGTGCAGTTGCATTAATTATATATATATAAATAGAAGTGGATGGTGATGCAAATGGCTAAAGTTCTGAGCTTGACATCATATCAGCACACACTTGTATATGGATTCCCATTTCACTTCTTTTTCAATGGTTTCCCCCTTTTACTGCTACAATCATCACTACTTCCACTACATATTCATCCTATCAATTATTAATGCCACAAAGATTCAAAGAAAATCACCATCACTGAACTATCTAAAAATATATTTTGAGTGTGAAATATATATATATATATATATTAATAATTGTATAATTTTTTTAGATAAGGTAAGCATAAATAAAGTTTAGGATGAAATCATTGATAAAATGGATCATAAAATTTCAGGGGGCATTATCAATAAAATAAGTGATTAATCATAAACAAAATTCGAATTTCAGAGTAAACATGTGCCCACCCTCATCCATTAGTGCATCTGCAGCTGATCACCATCATTACAGTAGTAATTGATTTGTATAAATATTAAATTAAAAATAAAATATTTAAAAGTAAAGAATAATATATTTAAATTTGTTTAAAAGTATAAAAACTATAAAAACAGAAATATATGATGGAGCCCCGATTATAAAAATAAAAATATACGAGTAGTCAATGTTATGTTCTTGGATCTCTCTAATAAGTGAATTGGAATTGCTCTCGATTATGACCCGATGGAGACCCGAGTCCGACGTAAATTGCATGCCCTAACCCACTTCTAGAGCTTTCATCTAGAAGGTAGATCCAATATGAGGATTCACTCGGTGGTAAGATCCGATGATATGATGACCATCTGCGTACATTCGGCTTTACGACTGCCTAGGGTGAGGTAACCAAAGGTATGGGTGGGATAACACTCAGCCGAAACTTCCCAGCCCTCTGCAATGGCTCTAGGTGAAAGGTAATGAGCACGGATTTAAATAGCGGTCTACTATCGAAATAATGACCGTTAAATAATGGTAAATGGTGTGGTTCGAAATCATTATTATACGATCGTGATATTCAAATGACTATAATAACACTCATTAGCAACCATAATTTAAATTCTGATAATACAATTTGAGCTAACCTTTAATGTAGGAAATTATTTCTCAAAAACCATAAGGACCAAATGGTGATGCAATTTGAGCCGAGACCTCTACAGATAACAAACATCTCTTTAACTAAAGACAGAGTTCGAATTCTAATTGAAAGGACAAGGTATAACTCAAAATAAAAAAATGAGACTAACAAAATCAAACTAAATCAAAATGAGGGGTAAAATCAAAATAGATCAAAATTTGAAGGTCTAAATACATGCTTTTGCCCTATATATTTTTTAATGATAAAAAATTTGAAGACAGTGGCCTCCAACCCTACATAACTATGATTAGGGATGACAACGGGTCGGGTTAGGGTTGTGTTTTGGGTCTACCCGACCTAATTCGAAAATTGTATATCCTTCACTTGACCCGACCTGACCCGAAAAATATATATCCTCCACTTGACTATGATTAGACTCGATTTTTTAGAGTATAAATCCGACTTGACCCAACCTGATATAAAATAAGAATTTAATTAAAAATAATATTTTTTAATGAAATTACATTATTATCCTCGGGCCGAGTGGAGTCGGAGTTTTTTCACCATCCACCCCAACCCGACCCGACCCAATCTCACCTCTTAAAAAATCCAACCTGATCCAAAACTGATTTTTTAAAATAATTCGATAGTCGGATTCAGGTTAAATTATCATCCCTAACTACGACCTTGCCTTTAACTATTAAAGTAGCTTAGTCCGTGCATAGTTTAGTTATTTAATATTTCATTTATTTAGTACATTTCTATATATTTTAAGTGGTTGTTTTATTTTTCATATATATTTACTATAATTTTCGTATAGATATTTTATTTTGAGTTTCATTAATATATAATAGTATCTAATTAATATACTTTTAATATAATTATTTAATCTTTTGTTTAATTAATATATTTTTCATATAATTATAATATTATTTTTTTGGTATTATAATTATCATATAGTTATGATATATTTCATGTAGTTATTTTTATTTTATTGCGAGTTTAATTTAATGTTGATGTTTGTAGATTCCTAATGCGAGGATTGGACGTGGGCATATTTCTACCCATCAACTAACAATGGCAAGGAAAACTTATCAATTTCGGCATTTATCGAGACGTGGAGACCAGAGACATAAAATTTCTATTTTTTTTTGTGTGTGGAGAGTGTTCACTAATTTTGAGGATGTTTATCTTCAGTTAAATCTCTTATTCGATGCTCGTGTTAATGTGTTAACGAGAGTTAACAGTCGAGAGACTAAAATCAAATAGATTGATAATGTAAGAGACCAATATCGTTTTTTTAGCGGTGACCAAAATGAAACAAGCCAAATATATAAAGAACCATCCGCGTAATTACCCTTTATAATATTTTATTTTAATAGAATATATTAGTCTTGATATTTTTTTATTTATAAAAGTAAAATTAATATTTGAAAAAGAATAATATTAAATTTATAATAAATAATATTATTCATTATATTCAATATTTATAATGAATAATTTTTTTAAAACTTTACCAATTAGTAATTTTCAGTTTTTACAGAATAAAGATTATTTTTCTAAAAATGTAATTTATTTTTAATAAAGCAAATAAAACCTAAATATTTTCCAAAGTTCACCACTAGCTACTATCATTCTCAATTATCTTTTCTCAGACTTTTCATCCAAATAAAAAAGGGTAATTATTGTAAATCATCATCTTCCATCAAAATCATCAATATAATTAATCAATTAAATTATTTTACAGGTTATCAACAATGGTTGGTTTAAATTGTAAGCAGTTTGATACCGCTTAAGTAAGGTTTCAAATTTGAGTTTTTCTATATGCAGAAAATCTCTATTGAGAAATTCACCTACCAAAATCAAATATGTAACATGAATTAGTCTGGATTAAGTCAAGACGAAACCCTAAAACCGAGAGATCAACCAAGAAAAATATTATTTTTCAGGTTCATGCATCTTATATTTATGAGTACAATAATTAATTTATACATAAAGGTGTAAAGAAAGGAGAATGCGATGGGGGTGTCGGATTAAAGGGGTTTTGAGGTTGATGATGCTTTAAAAGGAATAGGAGGGGGTGTCGGATTAAAGGGGTAGCCGAGTTTGAGGTTGATAATGCTTTAATAGGAATAGGTGGAGTTTAATTAGCTCAAGTCTTGGATTCCATCATATTCTTGAGATGCTAGTTAGTGCTAGATAGCTAGCAACTTTATATTAGCTCCAATTAATAAATCTAGCAAATATATCATGAGAAAACTATTTGAATGATAACCGAACTATAAATTCAGTGTCAATATGACCACCATTTTTAAAATCGAATGAGTGTGATTACTTAACTATTTAATTGATTTTAATGTAGCCACATGTCGTTAACATTTAACGGAAATACTTATACGACAATTAACAAATTAATATAATTTCATATTTGATCTTTAATACTTGTACATTTAATCAATTATGTCTTAATTTTAATTTTATTTAATAAATTAACTATCTAATCAAGAGGTGAGACATGTTAACATATGATCATGACACGTGTTACATCTTACATGTATGCACTCCTGATTAGAAGGTTTTTATTTATTTATAAATTAATGTATTCTTTTATTCAAAATAGAAATTCAAGTAGCAATGAATTGAAAATGGATTTCTTTTGTTATATAATCTTTACTTCTAGTAATTTTTTTAATTTTGGGTTGACCTTAATATTGAGATTAAAATATAAATATTGAGTTTTAAATAGACATAATACCAAAAAATGTCCCAAACATTTGATTGAATAGTCATTTTGCCTCTATTCTTTTTTTGGAGTATTTTAGTTCTCAACGTTTCATTTTAGATCAAAATGTCCCATTCGAAGATGAAAACCGTTAGTAAATAAATGGTCAACGCCTAAAGAAATATATTGCATTAGTTGCAAGTCACAATTATCAAACATAATATAAACTCTTATGTGGCATATGTAAACATCCAAACACACAATGGGCCTCGATTTAGTTCTAAAATCGATTAAACCTTGGTTCTTATGCCAAACTACTCGTATACCTCCAACATCACCAAAAGACCAAGGTCTCACATAAGCTCCGACATGAGCTCAATGGACTCTATGTCATATCACATATATCTAAATATGTCCCAAAAGATGTGGAGGCCTTGTGTTACTTTTTAAAATGAAACTAGTAAATTATTTTATAATAAAACGAAATTTTAAATTGAGGCCCCTAAAATATTTTTTCCATTAGAAATCATGATTTTAATGGGGTTTTAGGAAGAAATGATTACTATTTTTTATGGAAGAACAGATTACAATTCATTTATTAAGATATAAAAGAGAAAACTAAAAGATTTTTAAAATTTTATCATGAAAATTAATAAAGGAACGGTAGCAATTTTTTGGGAAAATAATTTCTATTAGCAGTTTTTTTAAAGTATGGGCCCTTAAAATTTTGGGATTCTATGACATATCACTTCCTACACATGTAAAAGGACGAGTCTGCATGTATCCCACACTCAACTTAAGTGACGGATGCACTTGGTCCCTATTTGAAAAAAATAATTAAATTTAGCTTAATGTGTTAAGGGGGATAAAATAATTTTTTTGCATACTCATTATTTTTAAGAAAATAAAACTAAAATTTTAGACCTCATTTTTAAATTTTTTGATCCGGCACTGCTCAACTTAATGTCCAAAGACCATGGACGGAGCCAGGATTTTAGGTCAGATGAACAAAATATAATTAACAATAGAAAATAGATGAGTAAAATCAAAATTTAAAGGTTTTATACATTTGATAATGAATGATCAATCACTCTATTATAACCGCTAGTGCTCGAACATGTTATCTTTAAAAACCATAATTATTTCTACAAACACCGATATAAATTGATTGGTGCATAAATTATTATATAATTTCTTTGTCAGGTTTTATACATTTCATATATCATCATTGTCTATGTCACTAATATTTTCTTAATATCAGTGACAAAGCTTCAAGATCTTGAA